CCAACTCCCGATTTTCATTTCAGAGGTCAGTGAGATCTCTCCTAAGCCCAACTTCCCATCTATTTCCGACGCTGTTTTGCATTTGTTCTTTCCTGCACCGACGGGCAGATGGACATCACATTGAAAACATCCTTCCTCACCAGCCTCTTTTCTTTTCTGCAACGTGGCTTCAGTGAGTCCAAGCCAAACCCTGCGCGTGCCAAGTTTGCTTCTAGGATTTCCCCTTGGAAGATACACCTCGGCCAGGAAGAGGCTTCCAGCTCCCCTTGGCAGGGCCAGCCCAATCCACCTGCCTGGATGATTCAGCAAGATATTTGCAATATGTTCCAGCCAGGTTCGTGCACCTGGAAACGTGGGAAGCAGCCTGGTTTCCAGGCAGTGCTCTGAACGCCCCTTGTTGATGCTGTTTTTAGTGCAGTGGCCACGTTTTCCTGCGTCCTCGTGCTGAGCTGTTGCTCTTGGTGGAGCTGCTGGGCTTCACCTCTGCCCTCCTGCATGTGCACGTGGGAGGGAAGGGCATCCAGCTGGTTTCCTTCCTTTGAATGCAAACAGCACAATCAGCTGCAAAAGTCTCCTGAGATACATCGACGTAAACAGGGTGACACAAAAATAATGTATAGCCACAGTGCTCCTCTTCCTTCCGTGAAAAACAAATCCCTGCACAGGCTCTGAGCTGTGCCTCACTTCATTCTCCTGCTCCTGCAAGGGAGACAAGGCTCCTGACAGCCTGAAAAGGCTTCTCTCTTCCCAGGGCACCTCAGCACAACCACTGCAGAGATCCTCAGTTTATGTTGGACTTTCCCAAGTGAATTCCCAAGCTGAACGTAAGAAGCATCGAACAGGCCTCCTTCTCCTGCCCAGAGCTATTCCCTTGGCTGGGTGTTCCCTCCACCCATCTTGCCAAGACCTCTCCCTCTTTCTGCCCTTTAGATTTTTCCAGGCATTTTGGTCCTTGTCATCACGTGCCCTCAGCAGCTGCCACCCCAACTGTCCCCACTGGGATAAAAGATTTTCACAAAAACTAGGGCTGAAGTATCTTTTCCCCGTGCTGCTGTTTCATACCTCAGCACTTCTCATTTGCCAATGAACGTGCATCCAACATTTTGCTGCTTCTGAAACCACCTTCATTACACTGCTCAGTTAGAAATTCGTGCACCTCCCGTTAGCAGATGAATCTCGGTCGGTGTCTCGTTAAAATAACCTTGGCTGTTCCTCCTCCTAAGACTACAATACAAACAGCTCACATTCTCTAATCCTACGTAATGCCTTATGTAAAACCACTTAACATTCCTTTTAAGGCTGGGGACCCATTCAGACAGAAAGATGCTGTGCATAAAAGCACATTCCGAAACACGCTTGGCCAGAAAAGCGACCAGAAAAGCGATGTGGTCCAAGGCGGAAAACACGGAGCAGGAATCGGGGTTTGTTCAGGAACACGCCTGGCAGCGCGGGCCGTGTCCAGCCATGTCCTCGCACTGTGAGCCTTGCACAACTCGTTACAATCGTTAATTACATCATTAAGGTGGGAAAAGCCCTCTAAGATCGAGTCCAACCCTTAACCCAGCACTGTCAAGGCCACCGCTAGCCCGCGTCCCCAAGTGCCACATCCACACGGTTTTTGGATCCCTTCAGGAATGGTGATTCCAACACAGCCTGTTCCAATGTCTGACCACCCTTTCCATGAAGAAATTCTCCCTAATATCCAACCTAAACCTCCTTTGGTGCACCTTGGGGCCATTTGCTCCATTTCCCTCACTTTTTCTGATCATGAAATGGCAACACTGATACAGGCCCAGGGCTGGTTTTATCCATGTATGCTTTCCAGTGGCGCTTCCAGCAGGGACTGAGACTCAGCTGGGAAAGGTGGACTGGAGCTCAGAACACAAGATGGGCTCTGAGAACCCACTCTTCACCTCTGGCAATATGGGATGAGAAACAACACCTCCAGGTGGAAAATGAAACTTAACCCAGCAAGGACAAAATACAGGAGCTTTGACGTGAAATTCCAGCCCTCGGATCTGTGAGGTGTTCAAGGAGGCCAAGCCTTAATGCACCCTCTGCCACTGGAAAATGAAATGTCCTTTTTCCTGCGCTGTCCCTCCTTGGCTTGTCAAGAGCAGCAAATCAATAGAGTGAAAAGCAGCATCCGAACCCTCAGCTGAGGAAGGGGAAAGAAAAAGGACACAAACAGCTCCGGACCAGGAGCACAGGAAGCTGATTTACGAGGGGAGAGGTGATTGTTTTGTTAAAAATCACTTGAGGAAATACAGCTCCCTAAAGGGTAAATAGTTTCTTGTTTGTTGGGGGTTCAGGAAAACTTAGGTATTTATGTTGGAGAGAACATACAGGATGTAGAAAGCTCTCAGAGTACAAAGGGAAATTAAATGGGAACCTCTTTAAGAGCAGCCCTGAGTTCCCTCTGTCTCTGGGGAGCAGGGCAGGTTACATTTTGGAGCCTGCTCCTGACACACACGGTTTCAAATGAGCCCATAAACAATTCCCAATTTGGGGTTAAAACCCAGACTCCATTTTAAACCGAGGATCAAGGTCCAGCTACGCTGTCATTAGACTATACTGGACCAGCGTGGGCTGTGTGGCTGCCAGAAACGCAGAAACTGTTCTTAAATAACCATCCTGAACACCAAAGAGACTCGTACATCTGGCATCCATTTGAGCTTTTTTTCCTACCTAACTTCTGCAGACGTATTTCCTGCGCTGAGAACGGGGTAGTTTTTACGCCTAGAAAAAAATCACACCTCCTTTTTTAGGCCTTAATGCTTTTATGTGCAGTGAATGCTACTGCGAGTTCCAGCATTCCTCTGTATCCCCCAACCTCTGGGTTTCCTGGAGAGACCAGAGGTGGGTTTTGCTCAGAATTTCAGCTGCTTCGCTGAAAATAATTGTCCTCCGAAGAGAGAAGGGCAGCTACAGAATACCTTCCACTTTGCACAGTCTCACAGAAGCTTTTTCAGCTTTAGGAGCCCAAGGAGGCAAGTCCCAACAGGTCCCAGGTAATTCTCCTGTGACTCTCACTGCACTGGCTGCCCACAGAGCTAAATGCCCTGGTGCCTGATTAGTCCAGAGCAGTCCTACATCCTCCTCTTGCACCTCAGAGCCTCTCTGGGAACATCCCAGCCTCCGGAGCTCCGCTCAGTTTTGCCACGGCGGCCGATGATAATCCCGACCAGGGTGTACACGAAGGAACGGCTCTGGTGGGAAAGATGGAAAGCTCAGCCTTGTGTTTGGTAGAAATACACATGTGGATAGAGTTCTATATAATATACAGGTGGTGTAGGCAAGCTGGGGGCTTTCCTCCTGCCTCAAACCAAGGGGCACAGGCTAAAGGCCGTGCCTGCCCCCACACTTGTCCCTCCACAATAAACACCTGTTGGAGGGGGTCAGAGGAACACATGGAGATGCTCCGAGGGCTGGAGAACCTCTGCTCTGGAGCCAGGATGGGAGAGCTGGAGGGGTTCGCCTGGAGAAGAGAAGGCTCCAGGGAGACCTGAGAGCCCCTTGCAGGGCCTAAAGGGGCTCCAGGAGAGCTGGAGAGGACTTGGGACATGGGATGGAGGGACAGGACAAGAGGGAATGGCTTTAAGCTGGAAAAGCAGAGATCTAGGATGGATATTGGGAAGGAATTGTTGGCTGTGAGGGTGGTGAGACCCCTGGCACAGGCTGCCCAGAGAAGCTGTGGCTGCCCCTGGATCCCAAGGCCGGGCTGGACGTGGCCTGTACCCACCTGGCCTAGCGGAAGGTGTCCCTGCCCATGGCAGGGCGGGTGTTGGAGGTGGATGATCTTTATACGATCCCTTCCAACTCCAGCCATCCTGTCACCACTCCACGGGCTCCGGACGTGGCAGGCCCCGGGCTGGGGGGGGGGCAGCGCCCGGTAACAGCCCCGGGGCAGCGGTTCCCCCTCCCGCGGGGCCGGGCGGGGAGGGGAGGAGAAGGGAAGGGAGGGGAAGGGAGCGGGGCCGGCCGTGGCCGCGCCGGGGCGCTGCGGCGGCGCTGCCGGCCCGGCCCGGCCCGACCCGAGCGGACCCGGCGCGGCTCGGCCGCGGAAGGAGAACGCGAAGGAGGAGGAAAAGGAGGAGGGAAAGCAGAAGGAGGCGGCCGCTCTCTGCCTCCCTCCCTCCCTCCTTCCTTCCCTCCTTCCTTCCCTCCCTCTCCGGCGGGACAAGCGGCTGCGGCTCGCAGGTAGGAGCCGGCCCGGCCTGGCCGCCCCGGCGGACGGGCCGCAGCGGCCCGCACCGCCCAGCCCAGCCCAGCCCAGCCCGCCCGGCCCCGCCGCTTCCTGCTCGGCCCCGGCGAGCCCCGGAGCCGCGGAGGGCGCGGCCGCCCGCCCGCCTTTGTCTCGGCCGGGCCGGGCCCCTGACCTCCCTCCCGCCGCAGGAGCCATGGGCCGGTAGGAGCATCCCGGAGGGACGCGGCGCTGGACATGGAGCCGGCGGCGCGGGCGAGCGGGGACATCCTGAGGCGGAACCCGCAGCAGGACTACGAGCTGATCCAGCGGGTCGGCAGCGGCACCTACGGCGACGTGTACAAGGTGAGCGGCGCCGGGGCCGCCCCTGGCGCAGCCCGGGGTTCCCGCTTGTCTTTAAGAGGGTTGGGCGTGAGGGCAGAGGTTTCCCGGAGGAGCTGGGGCTGCCCCATCCCTGGGAGTGTCCAAGGCCGGGTTGGACGGGGCTTGGAGCCACCTGGTCTGGTGGAAGGTGTCCCTGCCCATGGCAGGGTGGGTGTTGGAGGTGGATGATCTTTATACGATCCCTTCCAACTCCAGCCATCCTGTCACCACTCCACGGGCTCCGGACGTGGCAGGCCCCGGGCTGGGGGGGGCAGCGCCCGGTAACAGCCCCGGGGCAGCGGTTCCCCCTCCCGCGGGGCCGGGCGGGGAGGGGAGGAGAAGGGAAGGGAGGGGAAGGGAGCGGGGCCGGCCGTGGCCGCGCCGGGGCGCTGCGGCGGCGCTGCCGGCCCGGCCCGGCCCGACCCGAGCGGACCCGGCGCGGCTCGGCCGCGGAAGGAGAACGCGAAGGAGGAGGAAAAGGAGGAGGGAAAGCAGAAGGAGGCGGCCGCTCTCTCTGCCTCCCTCCCTCCCTCCTTCCTTCCCTCCTTCCTTCCCTCCCTCCCTCTCCGGCGGGACAAAGGGCTGCGGCTCGCAGGTAGGAGCCGGCCCGGCCTGGCCGCCCCGGCGGACGGGCCCCAGCGGCCCCGCACCGCCCAGCCCAGCCCAGCCCGCCCGGCCCCGCCGCTTCCTGCTCGGCCCCGGCGAGCCCCGGGAGCCGCGGAGGGCGCGGCCGCCCGCCCGCCTTTGTCTCGGCCGGGCCGGGCCCCCCTGACCCCCCTCCCCGCCGCAGGAGCCATGGGCCGGTAGGAGCATCCCGGAGGGACGCGGCGCTGGACATGGAGCCGGCGGCGCGGGCGAGCGGGGACATCCTGAGGCGGAACCCGCAGCAGGACTACGAGCTGATCCAGCGGGTCGGCAGCGGCACCTACGGCGACGTGTACAAGGTGAGCGGCGCCGGGGGCCGCCCCTGGCACAGCCCGGGGGTTCCCGCTTGTCTTTAAGAGGGTTGGGCGTGAGGGCAGAGGTTTCCCGGAGGAGCTGGGGCTGCCCCATCCCTGGGAGTGTCCAAGGCCGGGTTGGACGGGGCTTGGAGCCACCTGGTCTGGTGGAAGGTGTCCCTGCCCATGGCAGGGGGGTGGAATGCCGCGGTCCTTCCAGCCCAAACCATCCTGGGATTCTGTGATTTGCGCTCGAGGCTTGACTTGGTGAATATTGCGGGTGATCCTTTTCCACGGTACTGCCGGAGGAGGTAGAGGATGTCTGCTGAGGAGGTAGAGGATGTCTGCTGGCCGTACCTGTTTTCCAGAACGCACCCGGTTAAAGCACCCGATTAAAAGGGTGCAAGTTTATCCCCGAGGTTAATAATAGCCCGCGAAAGGCAGAAGCAGATTAAAGCTCTTCAGAAGCTGGAACGGAGTTCCAGCACGAGGGTAGAGTAAGCGCAGCACATCGAGTAGATGCGCTCGAAATGGTGCGTGCCAAAGGTGTCCCTGTCCACGGCAGGGGGGTGGAACTGGGAGATCTTTAAGGTCCCTTCCAACCCAAACCATTCTGTGATTCTGTGAATCTGTATTGCCAGAACCACAGCCATGGGGGACAGGAGGTGTAGAGCTGGTGTGTTGCTCTCACATGAGCTCATTCCCCATCCATCAGGGACGTTCCCCATCCATCAGGGACATTCCCCATCCATCAGGGACATTCCCCATCCATCAGGGACGTTCCCCATCCATCAGGGACGTTCCCCATCCATCAGGGACATTCCCCATCCATCAGGACACGCATCACGGATGCCCGGCAGCTTTTAGGGCTGGGTGGCTTTTTAAAGAAAGCATTGAATTTTCCAGCCTGTGTTGGGCAACCTGCACGTTCAGCTGCAAGGGAAGGGAGGCTGTGTGATGTTTCCCTTTGTAGTGCTGTTGAGTGCGTTTAAAATAGACCTGACACAGCCAAGCGTGCAAGGAAAGGTGTGTTCCTGGGCCACATGAAAGGCAGCGGTAATTGCCCGTGCTGGGGGAGGGCTCTTTGCTAATGTTCAAATTGAAGTTTTATAGATGGATCCTGTTCCCACCACCCCTTTGAAATGGTTACTTATGACCTCGGGGAGTTAGTTTTAAAAGCTTTCACGGTGCATATTTACTTTCCTCTTTTGTTTTTGTTTGTTTTTTTTTCTTCTTCTCCTACGATGCTGTGCACAGATCAGTCAACTTCTTTCCGAGGAATTCCAGCGCTAAATCCTTTAAAAAGAACATTTCAGCTGTCATAAACCTGGCACTCAGCATACCTTGAGCTGCTTCGTTTTGTGTGTGCCTGCCTAGCACAGGGCAGCACGACAAGAAATAACTAGTTGTGTTGCAGGGAAGTTTTGTTTTTTTTTTTTGTGTCATCTCTTTGTGGAAAAAGAAATATTCTGCTTCTCATTAGCCTGGTAATTAGAGGAGAGCTGTGCTGACATGTCATCCAGCTTCCGGTTCCGGAGCTGGTTTGAATTCATGGCTCTGCTCTGTGCCATGTAAACATATCCCCTTTAAACAACAACAACAAAAAACATCCCCACAGCCCTCTCCCCCCACCCCCTCCCATTCTTTGGGTTATGAAAAAATGTGCCTTTGACTCCTGAAAGGCTTTCAGATAAGGAATAAACCCAAACCTTCTCCTAGTGCAGCCTGGCAAGTTTAAATCCAAGTTTTTGGCAGTCGTTTTAGACGTTGTTATGAGCCTGAAAGAAGTATAAAGTTAATGAGTTTAAAGTAGTTTGAGAGGCCACATTTGTTTCTAGGTCATTGGTTTGCTCTTTGTTTTTGTAAAGCCCTGCAACAGGGAGGAACTGTATCAAGGGAATACTGAATCAGATGGCACTGCCTCTGATGACAAATATGCACAGCAAACTTTTATTTTTCGAAGTCACTGATGTTATGATAATTTTAAAAGTCAGGCAGACCTTTTTTTATTTATTTTTTTTTTCTTGAAAGGACTTAACGTGTAAACACGGTGCTTTTATTTTCCTTAGTGCCTGGTGAGTCTCAAGTGCAGATGGCACATCTTGTGCTGGCCCAGGGCTGTCAGTAGTGTTTACAAAACGCATTTATTAGTGAATATCCGACTGTTTTTATGTCGCAGAGCTCGGAGAGGCTTTGCTGGAGAGTGCTCTTAAATTAACATGGAATTTTCCCCTCGCTTCTTCAAGTGGTTTCTCTGCTCCTTGGCTAATAATGAGTCACCAGCGTCTCCAGCACAGTTGTTTTGGGGATGTCTAAGCCAGGCAGGCTCTGGCTGTGGGACATCTGCCTCTTCCCCAGATGCTTTCTGGTGGTGGTGGTTCATGCTTCAAATTCTTCTGGGGGCATTTGGTAGCTTTTAGAGTAACTGGCTCTTTTTTGGATGGTGAAGGCGGAGGTTAAGCAAATATTTCTCTTCACTATTAAGTTACAGAAGAATATTTAAGGCTTTTTCTAAAATTTTCCTGCCCACTTTGCTTTTCATTACTGCCATGAAAGCTTAAAACTGAGCTGTGTTTTCTTAGTCTTTGTGGGTTTTATTTCTCTTGTCTGTCACAAGGCACACAATGGTTGATTGTAGTATTGCTGGTAAGTGCTGGATTGTTGATGTTGTTTTAATATTTATCTCTTTTTCCCCAAAATGCATTTCAGGCTGGGGGAGAAACCATCTGTAAATAAACTCTTTTCTTGTCTATTCACAGCGTGTGTAAATAGATCCAAGTTTGGGTCTAGCAGTCTTGGAAGTGATTTCCATTACAATCCTAATGAGTTAGTTATCTGTGGTGGGAAAGCTTTTTTCCTTTTAAATAGGGGATATTATTATTATGCCAATTATGATCCACTGGAGTAATTTATCTTAAAACATCATACCAAGCTCTCTTAAATTACTGACTTTGGAAAGAGGTTCTAATGAGGAAGATTAGGAACTCACTAGAATTTGATAATACAGTATTTTTTTGGCCCCACTCTGTCAAATGTAATCTGGCTTTTCTGTTTGCCCACCTTAGTCCTAAACGTGAAAACCCCAAACCAGTATTTAAAAAAGGCATAAATTTGCCCATGCATCTGTTTCATGCTGAAATAAATGTGTGTGTGTGTGTGTGTGTGTGGTTAATGCAGAAACATCCAGCTGACGGGTGTCTTGGAGCAGAAAAATTAGAAAAGGGGCTGGAAACCGTAAATGGAATTTAATCTCCAGCACTAGGAAGTGGCTGGTCGGGTCCCATCCCAGGTAAACTCCCACGGGGTGGTGGTTGGATGTTTCGTGACCTGTCAGTGAACCTGCAACTTTCCAGGAGGGCTTTGTGGTGGTAATTTGTGTGAGGCTGGTTTGGTAACAGGGTCCTATCAGGAGCTGTGTAAACACGAGGTTTTTCTGGAAGCACTTGGAATAGCATGAGACTGGCCCTTATTTTGGTTGGCTGCTGGAATTCGGTTGCATCAGAACATTAAGTCTGCCTGTAGCTGTGGAAGTTGGTGTGTCCTGAAGGGAGCTGGAAAGTCAGAGCTGCATCAGGGGGATCATTTACTGGAGCTGATTCTTGCTGAGATTTCCTTCATGGACTTTTTATCTGAGCGGTTTTGAGTGAATAGGTTTGGTGGAGAGATTGGGAAAATGTTCAAGGCCAGGTTGGGGTGGGGCTTGGAGCAATCTGGGCTAGTGGCAAGTGTCCCTGCCCGTGGCAAGGGCTTGGAATAAGATGGAATTTAAGATCCCCTCCAACCCAAACCACTCACAGGGCTGCTGCAGAAATGCAGTGAGCAGTGACATTGGATTGTGGCACACACGGACTCTTTTTGCTCAAATGCAATTTAAAACAAAAAAAAGTTGTGGGGTTTTTTTTATTATTTTATTTTTTTAAAGGTTACCATAAAAGTGGGGCTGTGTTTAGTTTGAGTCAGGTTTTGGCTCTGCTTGTGTGGTCACTGCCTTATTCTCAGAGCTCTGGAGTGTAGTTCCTGATGCAGCCAAAGGCTGTTAAGAGCTTGTATTTGATATTTAGAAAATAATCCTTAATGCCGTTCTAATTTCACAGATTGTGAGAACTTTGCAGTTAAAGCATTTTCCTGCTTAAAATCAGTGGGTTAAGAATGGAGCATTAAGGGATTTGTTGGTGTCTTTTGATACCAGTGTAGTTACAGTCGAGACAGTTTTTAATCACATATTCCCAACTTTTATACGGATCTGTTTTGGCAGCTGCCAACCAACTGGATTGACCAGTGCTGACTCAGCACTTCTACCCCTGGTGAATATTCCTTGCTGCCACATATAAATGACCATAAGGCATCTGTCACACTGGGGGGATTCCACTCTGCACATCAAAGCCTTCTGGTTACAGTGTTTGCTGTAGCCGTGCCTGAGCTGGGTGTACTCTTTTTTTTTTCCCATGAGGAGGGTGTTTGGGATGGCGTGGAACCAGCGCTGCTGAGTGTTCTTCTCGTTCCTGTGGAGTTCCTCTTCTGGGAAATGACAGGCTTTTCTTTTGGGATGAAATCAGTAGGATTTGTATTTTGAGAGCTAAGATGCTCAGTGGCATCTTATTGACATTCTCTGTGAGGATATTCAGGAGTGGAGTGTGAAACCCTCGCTTTCCCATTTGTGATATTTGGTAACATTTTCTTATTGAGCACTTGGGTTTTGTCATGGAGTGTTCAAAGCAGTTTGGCTGTAAATGTTACCCCCTGTCATTCATGTTTCTCTTCATCAGGAGCTGCAGTGAGAGGACACTGGGTGATGGGTTCAAACAGAAAAAGGGAGAGTTAGGTGAGATATTGGGAAGGAATTCCTGGCTGTGAGTGTGGGGAGGCCCTGGCACAGGTTGCCCAGAGAAGCTGTGGCTGCCCCTGGATCCCTGGAAGTGTCCAAGACCAGGTTGGATGAACTTGGAGCAACCTGGGCTGGTGGAAGGTGTCCCTGCCCATGGCAGGGTGTGGAATGACATGATCCT